TCATTTCGTGTTCAGCATTTCATAAATAGTGGAGCTAGTGAAAGTGAAAAGTGGCCTTAATTTGTTATTCAGTTGCTTTTCTCTGAAAAGCTCCACTAATTGTCCCATTACATTTCCTCGCAATTTCGCTGCTTACTGATAGATGTAAAACTCTGCGTTGAGGGGTCAGCTTTCGGATTGCGTGCTGCTTACCCTTACAAAAGGCCGTCAACAGAGTTCAGTCAGTGTCACACTCTTTGGAGGAGGGGAATGAAATAATTAACTTGTGGATCGACTGTCTACCATATGTGACTGCAGGTCGAATTGCACCAACATGCTATTGCTATTTTGATTGGAATTAGCGTGCGTGGCGCGTTCTAAGAAGGTGCTGATCCCGCCGAATCCTTTCTTCCTTTCTTGTGTAGACAGATGAAAGCAAAAAACAGTTTGGCCTGGTTGCGCACATTTCGTCCACGAACATGTGCAGAATCCAAATCGAAGATATAATTCAGTTCCTCTCGTGATTATGGAGAGGCCCAGACTGAGGCCTAGGCCTTGCTTCATACTTAAGTCGTTACCTCTCAAAAAAAGAAAAAAGCTAAAAAAGAAGGAACATGGCGAAGTACGCTTGTTTAAGATCGATATGCCTACCATGCAGTCCTTCTAGCTCGGGGTGGGTAGACGTCCAAGGTGCATACTAGGTCATACTACGTACCTGGCCCTAATAATAGCCTAAAGTACCTCTGGATGCGCCATGTACTCGCCTTCTACCTTGAACTTGCACAGAGCAATACATGACGGCCATCTGCGGTTCCACTTTCTGTTCTTCTAAAGTATGTGAAGAGGGATGAGGAATAAAATGGGTTTTCAGATGGCTCCCAGTCATCTTTCATCAAAAGACAAACAGGCTCTCGTGACAGAGGACCAGTCCTTCGACAATTCAAGGGTAAAATGTCGCCTTTCTAGGGTGTATTTCACTTCACCTCCTTAGGGCAGGCCACCTAGAATTAGAACACCAGTCATCTGCTCGTAGCAAGCCTAAGACTAAGCCTGAGCCGAACCATAGACTTAAAGGCACAACCCAGGCAGAGGTCGTGTGAACGCTTCTCTTCGGTCTGTAGTATAGACCCCTAGAGGACAATCACAAATGTGGCGTTCCCGTGCACGGAAACCAACCGACAAGAGCGCTTGGGCCTTGCAAAGTAAGCTGCCAAGCTGCAGATTTTTTCTCTTATCAGGCTGTTGTCTATGCTCTCTCATCTGTAGCGCTCTCTCGCCCCATACTCTCCTCCTCGCGCTCAGTCTCTCATTCCCTTAG